CTATCAAACACACCCTTAGTGTTCACTAACAAGAACACGTGATAGTAACTTAATAAATGTTGAAAAATATATTCCATTCTACTTGTATTATTTTCTTGTTTCCTTTGACAAGTGAAATCTACTCGTACTATTTTCAGTAAAATCTGATTGCTTCATCTCTATTACTTCAACAACATTAAACTGGACCTGGTACCTCTGAAGTTATGCACTCAGAGAAATATGGAGCAAGGGGTGTGTCAACAAGCACCAGTCTGTAAAGCTCCCTCATATTCTGAGCAACTGCCAGGGTAGCAATGCTGTAGAATGAATTGAAATTTTTTCATTACATATTTTTTTTTGATAGCCGTATATAGAGCGCAAAATGTTGAATAAAGACATATTACCTGTCAAACATTCCCAAGGGGTGACATTTCACCAACAACTCCTGAACCTCTCTCTCATGCAATGTTCCAGTGACAATTAACACGACATTGTCAATCATGTGACCATATCTGAACAATATGCAGAAATACTGTGGCAAGAATGAAATTTCTAGTTTAATTTAACGCAAGTGATCAAAGTCTGCAGCAAGATTCCACCTTATCTCCACAAGAAGCAAGTTGCAGAATAAACTTGATAGACACAATTGCTTATACCTATCACAACCTTATTTGTCAAGTGGACATACTTTCTGCAAGTTTACATGAGTAACCAACACTATGCACTTCTAGCAAGCATCGTGGGAGAATGCTTTAAATTTCTTCATTGAGATTAGCTATTTGGGCATTTAACTTCATATGTCATTATATCTCAGAGACACATATCTACACTCTATATGTACAATAGTTCAAGAGCACTTAGATGGCATTAATATATATGATCTTATTTACAAGTACAAAGAGAAACACACAAAAATACAGTCATATATACAAATAAAACAAAGATAAACAAATACGTATACAATTACACACGTGCTAGCAGAAAGAGAGAAATTCACATACGTGATATATTCTAAGAAGGTTGATAGGGGTTCTGTGGCTTGGCATAGCATTTGCTTGTACTCGTCGACCAGTTTAAGAGTGCACTTTTCCACTATTGTAGTTGTATGCAATGGAGAGGGCTCTGTAAGTCAATGAAACAACCAAAATCATCACAATGCTCCAAGTTGGAAACATCTACCAATCCTGTAATACTTGCAGTGCTTCAAAACAAGCTACAGCCTAGTACCATTCCAGCAATCCTATCTACTTCGTAAAATTAACTTATCTGCTGTCGATACTCTATATGATTTCATCTGCCGTAGCTAAGATTTTCATTGTTTACAAAAGCTATTTGTATTTACTCCTGGAATCCTGCATCACATGAGTCTTACATAACGCACCTCAAAGCTTACTACTTGAGCGCATCTTCAGGGGGATTAAGGCGTTCGCCTAATTGTCTTGCATTTTCTGTAGATTTTAATATTTTATCACTGGCCTTAGCTTTTCCATTTTAGACTCTTCTTTATAATTGGGTTTTATTTATTTCTTTTCTCTACCTTTACATGAAAAGGAAATGGGAAGGAGAACACATGGTGGCTAGTGGAGGATGATGACAAAGAATAAGAAAAAACTATCATCGACGAGGAACATTAAAAGGAACATTATGTTGATGATTCCCTTAAAGATTCTAACCTTTCTAATG